CACCGAGTAACCGGGCGGGCCTGGCTCCGTCGCGCTCCGAGGCTCTGGGCCGGGGTGCTCCTCAGACTCCGGGGAGTCCTGCAAGGACGTGCGCGGCAGGGGTCAGCTGTACGCAAGTTGCAGCGCGCTTGGCACGTAATAGGTGCTCAGTAAATGTTGAAATGCGTTACACTGAGTGTTGTGTCCCCTTATTCGCCTCTTTTTTGGAGAGCCTGGGACAGGAGTTAGTTGTGGGATGGGGGGAAAAATCAGCAGAGTTGGTGACCAATGACCTAGGTTTGAAGTCACTCATTTACCTGCTTGATTCTGGGCAAGTCATTTCACCTCTCTCAGCCCTGTTTTTCTGATCTGTCCTCCAGCTGCCCCCGACTCATGGCGCCCCCGTGTGTTACAGAGTAGAACTGCTCCACAGGGTTTTCTTGGCTGTGATCTTTACGGAAGAGTTGGCCAGGCCCTTCTTCTGCGGAGCCCCTGGGTAGGTGGGTTCCAACTGCCAACCTTTGTTAGCAGCTCAAAGCAAAAAATGTCACAGTTATTTTGAGTACTATAAAAAGATACCTGTATGATCGCGCTAGGAGCCCTGATGGCGCAGTAGTTAAATGCTCAGTTGCTAACTGAAACATCGTTGGCTCAAACCCGTTAGCTGCTCCTTGGGAGAAAGACGTGGCAGCTCTGCTTCAGTTAAGATTTCAGCTTTGAAACCCAATGGGGCAGTTATACGACGTCCTATAGAGATGCCCTGGTGGTGCAATGGTTAAGTGCTCATCTGCTAATCACAAGGTTGGCAGTTCAAGCTGCTCCTTGGAAACCCTATGGGGCGGTTCTACCCTGTCCTGTAGGATCACTATGAGTTGGACTCGACAGCAACACGTTTGTTGTTTTTGGTTATAGGGTCACTATGAGTTGGAATTGACTCAACGGCAGTGGGTTTTGGTTTTGGGATCTGATGGGGCTAGCAGTGCCGGGCTCGCTGGAGGGGCTGATTGTGTGTTTTTGGCACTCCCAGCCCAGAGCTGCTCACCTTGTCTTTCAGGATATAGAGAGCCATGGGGTTCTTCCGCTCCTGCTCTCCACTTCGTGGAAGGGTGTCTGCTGTACAGGGGGAAAGAGTAGGGTTGCTGGCCCAGGTACAGAACCCTCCCCACCAGTCAGCACCTACGCTCTTTGCTCCCCAAGTGGCCAGTCATGGCCCCACCACAGCCTCCACCTGAGGATCCCGAATACCCAGGTTCCTACCTTGGCCGCACCTCTCCCTGCTCTGCCGTCCTCGTGCAGCTGGTGGAGGAAGGCACCCTGCAGGGCTGGCTTCCTGGTCGCCCCGTTCTGCCTTTTCCCAGCAGCCCACTGATCTGAGTGCAGACGGGATGAGTGAGTGGGGGGGTGGGAGCTCACCTTCTGGTTTCAGGCGGTCATTGTTCTGATCCATGTATTCTAGGGAGTTCTGTTTCTCCAGCTTCCTTTTCTTCCTGCAAATCAATACAGCCCCCAATCCAGTGTGAACAGAGGTCTGGGAAAGGGGTGGGGGGCACAGGAAGGGATCTGATGGTCATCAAAAAGGCCTTGTGACAGGAAGATGGGCTAGGTGGGGTGGGCAGTCCCTGAACTTTGGAATGAGGTTTGCATCCTGAGTCTCACTTACTAGCATTGTGACCGTGGGCAAGTCATTTAAGCAGTCTGAGTCTCAGGGTCATTATCTGTAAACTGCAGGTAATCGTATCTTTCCTGCAAGGCTCTGAGGATCAAAAGATAGCATGGTACCCACAACATGGTGTCTGGCCCAGAGAAAGGGCTCAGCAAGTGAAACCATTAGCAATCATGCTCTGGTTGTTAAGCTCCTGGGCTCAGGACATGGTTCACCATTCACAATAAATCAAGACACCAAACCCATTGCCGTCAAGTCAACTCTGACTCAGCGATCCTAGAGGACCCGGGAGAACTGCCCCATAGGGATTCCCAGGAGCCGCTGGTGTATGTGAACTGCCGACCTTTTGGTTAGCAGCTGAGCTCTTAACCACCACGCCACCGGGGCTCCTCCTGAGAAGTGAGATAGATCTGCTGAGAAGTGGTGCAGGGCACTGGGAGGAAAGGCATTTAAAGAGACTAAGAAAAGTCTAGCGTTTGGGGTTGGACTGGATTGAAGCCTTAGGGTGCTCAGGGTGTTGAACTTGGGAGAGTTACCCAGACTTCTTGGAGGGTTTCCAGCAGGCACAGACTGTTACCAAGGTCACAAGGAGGAAGATGCCTCCAGTAGACAAGATGATGTAAAGGGAGCTTCTCCCTAGGGAAAGAAGCAGAAAGGAGAGACTTGAGGGTGGGGAAGAGTATGGCAAGGGAGCTTCCTGAGCCAAGAAGAGAAAAGAAGCCCCAGGCAGCATGCCTAGCTGAGGTCAGAGCTTGCACAGAGCCGCTGCCCCCCGTTGCTGACCTCCATGGTGGTTGGCCCGCCTCTGCCTCTCCCTCTGTCTAGGATGTCCTTCGTCCTGCATGGGCACCTGCCTCTAGGGATTTCGAGTCTCAAGGGAGGGCGGGCAGGAAGACTTACTGTACACGGTGATCTTAATGGGTGGGCTGCGGCCCTGGCTGATGGGGTTCTCCACCACACAGCTGTAGAGGTCGTCGTCCTCCATGAGCACGCGGGTGATGGTGAGCACCTTTTGGTCGGGGGACAGGAGCAGGCGGGAGTCATTGAGGAGGGGCTTGCCGTCCTTCAGCCAGGTGTAGGTGGGCTTGGTGCCGTTCTCGTGCGAGCAGTTCAGGGTGAAGGCCTCGCTGAGCTCCAGCACTGTGCTCGAAGCCACTACCACCTGCGGCCTTGAGATGGGCACTGGGCCCCGGGGGTGGGGAGCCTGTGAGTCGTGGGTTAGAAAGCGTCTCCCCTCTCTTTCTCAGCTTCCTACCATCCAACACACCACAGCAAATTTTGTGGGCTAGGACCCTTCCACAGTCACCAACTCGGTCCTTTCCCATCGTTTATTCATTCCCCAGCTATTGACTGAGCACCAGCCAGCCACACGGTGTGCAGTGCTGAACAAGACAGCCCTGGTCCCTGCCCTCATGGACCGTACAGTCCCTTCTTCCCAAAGACCTTTCCAGGACTACTGGGCTGGAATGTCTCAAACTGGCCCAGCTTGGGAAAATTTCAGTTGGACTAAGCACAACTGGGCTCAAATCTTGGCTTTATCTAGCTGTATGACCTTGGGCAAATTACTCAACCTCTCTGAGCCTCAGTTTCCTCATGTTCAAAAATAGGGGTAATGATATTATCTATCCTTAGGTTATTATCAAGGAGCCCCAGTGGCGCAAGAGTTGAGCGCTCTGCTGCTAACTGAAAAAGAACGGTTGGCAGTTCAAACCGACCCCGCAGCTCTGCAGGAGAAAGACCTGGCAATCTGCTTCTGTAAAGATGATAGCAAAAACAATGCTGTGGGGCAGTTCTGCTCTGTCACCTGGGGTCTCTATGAGTTGAAATCGACTCTGCGGCACCCACGACAACAACAGATTATTATTACAAACGTTAAATGGGTTGATAAATGCAGAGCGCTTAGAACGGTTTCTGGGACCTAGTAAACATTCTGTGTGTGTTAGCTGTGCCTCTCTGACAACTTCTAACTTCTGGTTGGCTCATTCTCAGTTCCCAAGTGGCTTTTGGGTTGCCTTTCCCTGGGTCTAGTGTGCTGGCCCAATAGGAGCCCCGGTGGCACAGTGTTTAAGTGCTCAGCTGCTAACCGAACGGTGAGTGTTTCCAACCCACCAGCCACTCCAGGGAGAAAGATGTGTCAGTCTGCCTGCTTGCATGAAGATTTACAACCTTGGAAATCCTATGGGACAGATCTGCTTTGTCATATAGCATCCCTATGAGTCGGGATCAACTTGATGGCAATGGCTTTGGTTTTTGTTTTAGGTGCTGTCCCATTCCCTGCCCCCAAAATAA